GCACTTCTCCAGCACACCTCACTAGCCTCACAGCACCCTCCAGAGTGGACACCTTCTGCCTTTATGCTGAGGAGTGTTGCTCCTCACTCCAGCCCTGAGCAAAACTGGAGGGTCACTTTGGACCCCTGATCTTGATAAGATCAAGGGCTCCAAAGTGGCGGCGCAGAGGTCACATGTTGGGGAACAGCTCAAAATTAAAACTTGACTCTCTAGAGCAAATAGACTTTAATAGAGTCATATACAAAATCAATTTAGGAGAACAAAAGTGACTATCGATAGAACTTTCCTTCAATTTTATTTGTCTTTTCTTTTAGCTGCAGGTATTTGGAACCAACGGCCCTTAGCTCAGTTGGTACACCCATGAACTGTTGGAATACAGACTGACCCGAGTTCGAATCTAGATGCAACCAGATGAACAGAATAAATTTCAATAAAATCATTCTGGAATCTGAATTATGGTTACCTGAAAGTTCTGGAACTAGTAAACTCAATGAGGATATGTCAAGGCCGTCGCCCTTTTATAAAAGGAGTTGCAGGTATTATTGCCGAGGAGAGCTCGCATTCTGCCATTTGCAAAATCTTTTCCTTCTCCTCCTCCTCCTCCTCCTCCTCCTACTTCCCGCTCCTTCTCCTGCTCTTCCTGCTCCTACTGCTTCTCCTCCTCCTCCTGTTCCTTTGTCCTGTTCCTGGTCTTCCTCCTGCGCTTTCTCCTTTTCCTTTCTCTCCTATGATGATGATGATGATGATGATGATGATGATCACCATCACCGTTGTATCACCAACCTCCACCCCCTCACCACCCACCCGTTCAACATGCAGTATCCAAAGAAGTAAAGGAAGTTTCTGCTTCATCTTGACAAGCGCTGACAATGACGTGATTCAAAAAAGAAACAAAAAAAGAATTGGGCCACTTTGCAACCCACCTGGTTTGTTGGCAGACTTGGGGCTGCCTGGCCTATGTAGGGGCAGCTTCATCTTCACAAGCTGTCCGTGACAACAGTCAAGTGCAAAACTGATGGAAATCCGCCACTCACTCTTTTCTTTTATCAGGCTGCACTGGCCTATTTAGGGGCAAGGGTCAGCCAGTGTGAAACGACTGAGCTGGAAAAAAAAAAAAAACTACGAGACTACTGCTAAAGGTCACTCGCCTGTTAAACCACGACGACCTTTCCAAGCTGTAGTCCCATTTGGGAAAATGACCTCAACCGCAAAGTTCGGGGGTCTGGTGTAGGGTCGGGTAGGGAACAACAAAAGAAAAAAGATCGGGACCCCGCGGGTCCTCGGTGAGGGAGGGAAAAAAAAAAAAAACTTAGAACGTGGACGTCGTGGAGGTGGAAGTCACACCAGTGCTCTGAGGAGTGTAGTGTATCTGGCCAGTATGTAAGTAAGGAACGTGATTTCTTATGTTTGCGTTTTTTGTTTTCCTTGTTCTCTTTTCGTTTTGGTGCCCTGCCAGCGAGGCAGGGTGGTTTCCACGGGAGGCAGGTAGCTGCCTCACTCACGACATACTCGCATCACCACTAAAGCTTCTGTATCAGGCCGCGATCACAGCACAAGGGAAGTTTGTTTTCTTCCTTCATTTGTTTTCGGTGGGGAAGGCACTCACGGAGATGGAAGTGATACCAGTGCAACATGGAATGTATCTGGCTGGTATGTGGGGAACGTGATTTCTTATGTTTCCATTCTTTTTCCCCTTGTTTTTGTTGCTTTCTTGTGCCCTGCTAGTGAGGCAGGGCGGATTCCACGAGGGGCACGCAACTGCCTCACTCACGACATACTCACATCAGCACTGTCGCGTTCTGTATCGAACCCCGATCGCAGCATAAGGGAAGTTTTTTTTTCTTTTTTTGTTCTTCATTTGTTTTCTGAAGGACAGACGCCCTGGGCGAGGGACAGTCTCTCACGAGCACCTCATAGAATGTATCTGATTGCTACAATGGAAGTTCTGTTTCTTTCTTTCTTTCTTTTTTTTCTTTTTTTTTTTTTTCTTTTTTTTTTTTAACAATACATGACCTCATGGCGCCGGCTCCTTTTCCATTCTGGGGAGCATCAGTCCGGTTCCTATTCCACCGGAAAGTCAATAGAGTAGTACTGTACATCATAATTACAAGCACACGCTTCCTTCCGCTCGGCCGAAGGACCCCTGATCAGCATTGATTACTCCATCCGCATGGAGGATTGACTGTCAGCTTGCCGTGCTATACCCTTTCCTCTCAGGTCTGTTGCACAAACCTGCCATTTAGGGCCCGAACACCAAGAAAGGGTCTAGCCCCTTGAACAACCCCTCTGTCCCTCAACATGCCCTGAACCCCCTCATTTTATGATCATGCATATGACTCAATTCCCTTTTTCCTATCCTCCCCTTGATATCTACCAATTGCTCTCTACCCTGTTTCCTCTGGTGCAGTCCAGCCCTAGCTCCGTCCATCTTCAGCAGTTACGATCTGCCAACGATCGTTTGTTTTAAACTGTTTCAACTGGCCAAAAACCCTTAGACCCTAAAGCCCCTGAGCCGTTACCCGATGATTAAGACCCTAAAACCCTAAACCCTCCATCATTCTTCATCGTAATAACCTTTCTCTGTTGTACCTCTTCTAGAGACAAACCTGATGACTGTGAACCAAGGGTACTCTTTGCGTTCTGTCATTCCTGTTGTAAGGTGTGTAAACCTGTCCCTCGTTGATGTGGGGAGGTATCTGCTCTGTCCTGAGTCAGCAAGTGTATCAGCTCTTGTTGCCCTCTCCCTTGTCCGACCGGGATCCATTTTGCAGCGTCCATGGCAGACCTAGGTTCCCTCCTCCCAACACCAATCTTAATCCTCCTTGCCTCTCCTCTTGGCTCTCGTTCCTGGTGCCTGGTATCCCTTACTCCGTTCAACTCAGCTCTTGTCTGTTGCAGGCACAGTCTGGGTTCTCCTGCCTGTCTCTGAATTGTGCCAGTCTTTCCAGTAAATCCGGTCATTCCGTAGCTCAGCCACCTTACCGTCCACTAACCACAGCCTGTTGAACTTTTTCCTAGTCTTTTCTCGCAGGTCCTCGTCTTCAGGCATCGCCTGCTTTAACTTCTGCCATCTGCAGAGAATTTCAGCCTGTAGCATGGTTCTCGTCTCCACCCATACCTTCTCTCTTGGGTTGGACAACCCTTCGATGGATCTGCAGCATCTCTCTTTCCAAATGATCCATAGCGTCGCCTTCCTTTTTTTTCCTTTTTTTTTTTCTATTAATTTGGAGCATTTCTCGATTGATGTGTGTCATCCTTGCGCAGGGGCCATGCTAATCTTCTCTGTATTGTTCCAATTTTAACGGATGTCCCAAAGGACATAACGTCGCCTTCCTGATCAGGCCGAACCATAATCTTTCTGTCTTCTTGAGCTGGTCAGGAATGTTAGTCCAGAGAAGGATTTGGATGGGATGTTCGGGGAAGGGGACATGGAAAAGGGAATCCGAGAGGGCTGAGGCTCGTGTCCAGTAATCCGTCGCCTCGCTACATTGAATTAGACAGTGTGCCACATCTTCTTGTGCCCCTTCTGCACACACAGAGCATAGGTCCGAGCTGGTGGGATCGTTTTTGTGACGTTGTGTATGCAGCCATTGGTTTACTGGCAGCGCAGCGTATGTGATAAGCCATTGAAGGCTTCTGATTTTAATCGGCCTGATAGTCTTAAATTTCTTCCACGGGATCTGTGTAAGTTTGTCAGCTTCCTGGCCTATTAGTTTCTTCCATCTGACCTTGATTATAGGATCTGGGTCTTTTGTTTTAACCAGGAGTTTGTATCCAAATTTAACTGTGTAGTTCTCTATGGGGACGTGAACCCTGATATTGCTTTCCTTGTCCGGTGTCCAGGCCCACTCTGCCGGGTCGAATTCCAGATTATGTACTGCCGTGCCTGGTCTGAAGATTAATTTAGGCCATGAGCCTAGTACCCTTACTTTCCTAAGTAAGAAGAAATCCATGAATGCCGATCCCACTTTTTTGTTTAGAGTAGATGGCATGCGATGCTTGGACGGGGAGATCGGGAAGGAGGTAAAGACGGCTTTGGTGGTTTATCCCGGTTGCATGTGTGAAGTTCTGTTTCTTTCTTTCTTTTTCTTTTTGGTTGTTTTTTGGATTTAGCTGCCGTGAGTACCAGAAAAGAAAATATGATGGGACCCAGGCTCGGCAAAACTCAACTCGGTGTGTTGTGAAACTCAGGGTCGGCAAAAAGAGGATCGGAGGTAGTGGTGGTTTTAAAATTTCAGGCCAACAGTCAAATCATGGCACTGTCCGCTGCTGAGAAGACTCAATTTCCAGCCCAGCCCTACAAACCCTCGGATCAAGCCCCAGCTCCAGGCCTCCAGTGAAACAACTCGAACACGAACGGAGCTGTGCTCCAGCGCTGGTTAGTACCGACATAATTGAAAAGATGAAGGAAATAGGCCAGCATTCTTTGACGAATGAAAAGAAAATGGAGAAACATCCTGTCTCCTCTGCCGTTTCGTCATAAGGTAATCCGTTTTCGATTCCGTCCTCTCAGAAGGTATTTGCCATGTGTTCCCTGAACTATGTTCTGTGTACCATTCAGCAAGGGCAAGACGATCATGTTTTTTTTTTTTTTTTGGCTATTTCTAGATTTATGCGCGTCATCGTCGTGCAGGGGTCATGCTAATCTTCCCTGTATCGTTCCAATTTTAACGGATGTCCCGATATTTGTTTTGGAGAAGACTGTTCTTAGGACTGCCTGGGTCTACTTTTTTGCTTTTAGAATGGTCTAATTTTTCTAGCACTCGGAAAAAAGAGGTGGTCGTTTGTTAAAACATGGATTTGAAGAGGGCACATCCTGCATGGTATGATTGAAAATTTGACAGTATGTTGTTTCTGCTTTGTCGCGAATGACCAGCTCCTCTACTCTGGGGCGGCATACAGAGAGAGAGCGCCCAAATGGGTAGTGGCTCACAGATTGCCTGTGTACATGCAGCTCAAGGCACAACCACTTCGTGCCATTGGTATGGACTTCTTCACAGAAACCACCGAGGTGGCCAGTTCAATCCGCACACTCTGGAAACAATCAAGATAAGGTGAGGCGACATCCAACCAGTCAAAGAATCTTTTTGGAATCTCCTCCCTCGCCTCGCTTTTCAACCTTTTGTTCACACAGAGACTTCCAACAGTCTCCTGCCTTGCTCAGATTTTTGAATGATTTTTCACTTGCCCTTAGTTTTTCAAGGCCTCACCTTTGCCAGTCTGTGAAAATAACTTTCTTGGTCTTTCCCTTTCCCTCTCTCTAATCCATATGCTCACCAATCCATCAACCCTCCTTGTAATCTCTTTCTGTAACCTCCTGCTTATCTTATCTTTTCTTCCTTTTGCACCTCTTTTCTCCGTTTCTTTGCTTTTTCAAGAGGACATCCCTCTACTCTTTTGCATTTCTCATGATGTTTCCGTGCCTCCCCTTTGCCTGTGTGTGGGCTCTCATGGGCCTTGTCTGTGATCCTGCTTATGTAGATTTTTCCCTTACCGATGTCCCTTCTCTTTCCGGTTCACGTTTGTGTCATCTAATGCTCGTTGTCCTCTTCCTTTTGCACCTCTTTTCTCTCTTTCTTTGCCTTTTCAAGAGTACATCTCTCTACTCTTTTGCGTTTCTCATGATGTTTCCATGCCTCCCTTTGCCTGTGTGTGGGATCTCATGGGCCTTTTCTGTGATCCTGCTTATGCAGATTTTTCCCTTACCGATGATGTCCTTCTCTTCCTGGTTCACGTTTGTGTCATCTAATGCTCGTTGTCCTCTTGCTGCCTGTTCTGTGCTGTTCTCTGGTATCTGCGAGTTCTGCAATCAATCGTCTGTGCCTTCTGGCGTAACAGTGAAGTCTCTTCATGGGACTAAATAAATTTAAACTAGGCTACCAGAGTGGCCCGGGTCCACTTGCTCGGTGGGGCCAAAAAGAAAAATAATAATAAAGAAAAAATATATATATTTTTAATTTAAAATTTTATTTTAAATTTGGTAAGGAATATCGATGCGACCCTGAGGCAAAAATTGTTCAGTTTATTTTTCTACATAACATAGCTTTTTTTCGGATTTTTTGGAGGGTTTTTTTTTTTTTTTTTTTTTGGGACCTTCCTTAGGCCTTGCACGGCGGGGCCGCCCGGGAAAATAGGGTGACCCGGGCGGCCCGGCTGGTAGCCTAGAATTTAAACCTCCAACGCCCTTTTGACTTTGCGGCGGGGTCATTTTGTAGGTGTTTGACGTAGGACGGCTTACTTGGACCTGTACCTGCGCATCATCATTGTGTCAAGATTCTTACCCATCTTCTGAAATTCGAACCACTTCTTTCTGTCGTCTTGGGTGTCATTATTGCTTTCCTTGCTTAGTTACCATTCATTCAAGCTTTGAGGGTACATGCATGATGATGATGATGGTGTGAGCTTCTGGTCTGCTTCACTACAACATGCCAACTCTTCTTCCTCTCCCCCCTTCCTTGTCCTTTATCATCTACTTTTTGGCTGTGCACCTCACATGTGAATATATGGGATGTTGAGTGTTCATTGGATTTTTCTGTGCCCGCCTTACGAGGTGAATCGGTTGGATGTTCATTGGATTGTTGTGTGCAGGCAAGTGACCCTTTTCGGGTTCCGAGTGAATATCGGAGAATTCTGGCTAGAAAAAACAATGGCATCATTCTAGAACCTCCTCGCTTTGTGAGGCGGCTTGTTGAGAAGGTATGTTAACATCACCGATTTCCTAGTCTGGATTCATCTTCTTCCTTGTGCCCCCTCCCATTCAGCCAACTCCCGACTCCCCATTTCCCCTTCCCTCCCCTTTGCCCTTCCCTCCCCTTCGCCCTTCCCTCCCCTTCCCCC